TGTATTCTAATGTTTGCATACACAAACAGATTCTGTAATAAAGTTTAAGGCCATTCAGGCCTGGTGGCAAGATATGGCTGAAAGGAACCATAAGTCTGTTGCCAAACCAGCTGTTCCTGCTTTGCATAACGTTTCCACAAACGAAGACAATATTAATATTCAGAAAGGTAATTAGTATTATCTTCTGTAGTTCAATGCTACCGTAGTCGTCATCATGTTTCCATTTCTTATTCTTACCAGTTTCTAGGTTGCAACCAAACAAAAAAAGTTTCTTGGTGAGAAATGGAATATTTTTGTTTATATTTTGGTAATTTGAGTTAATTTTTCTCTTCTAATTTTCTTAGTAGTTACTTTGTTCTATTATTATTTGTCAACTATGGTTTAGTGTTCATAATTTTAATTATTTTGACTTCAGGAGATCATGCATGTTCCATTAATTCCTCTCCCTTTCCATTCAGTTTTCTGAGTCCAGAGTAAAATTGTTTTGTGATTCGTGTTTTTTTTTTGGTCTCTTATTTTTTCTATTACTCGGGAGGGGAGAATTTATTTTCTATATATAAGTTTATGCTATCATTTTACTTCTGTTCCTGATATCGTGAGTATGGTATGCTATATTCATTTTCTGACGGAGGAATCCTTATCTAATACTTCCAGTAAATGCTGCAAAAAGGATACAGTCACATTTCAGACGAGCTATTGAACGTCGCAAGTTTTTGAAGATGTTGAATGCCGCAGCTTTTTTGCAAACAGTTTTCCGTGCTTGGCTAAGTGCGAGGCAAAAACCGGCTCGCATAAAGTTTACCACTATTCAAGTTCAAGAGTTAGCATGTGGTATGTTCCTTTCTGTGATTCTTTCATATCCCTTTATGTATGGAGTTTTTCATGAACACGATTTATTTGGCTAATCATACAGAAAGGTGGAGACAACGAGAAACAGGGAGGAGATATGCTATGTTCATTATTGGCAGACATGGGTTTCTCAACTTAAAAAGGTCAGTTTTGCTCATCCAACGAGCTGTAAGGAATTGGATCACTCAAAGACATCGAGGTGGAAGCATTTTAACTCGTGATGCATGCACTTCTGATCTAGTCAATGCTGCCATTGTTGTCCAAAGACATATTCGTGGGTGGCTTACAAGATCAAGATACATTCATGGGGTTGCTCTAGTAGATAAATCTTCCAATCTGTGCCAGGAAAATGGTGCGCATGATTTTCAAATATGGGGAGCAGTTAAAATCCAGCGTGCTTGGAAGAATTTTTCAGTCCATCACTCTCTTCGCTATCAGCAATTTGCTGCAACCAAAATTCAAAGTCATTTTCGTAGTTGGCTATTGAGGAGAAGGTTTCACAATCAAAGGCAAGCAATAATAAAAATCCAAAGTGCTTTGCGAATGTCAATATGTTGGATGGCTTATCAGCAATACAAAATTGCAACTGCATCAGCCACCGTTATTCAATCTTATGTACGTGCATGCATTGCCCGGAGAGGAGCTGATCAACGTAGGCATGTCATTGTTGCAATCCAAGTAAGTACCCGATATTTCTATGATCTGGATAAGTGCCGATTGTGTTTGTTTTTGTTTTGTAAATATCATATCTCATTACCGTACTTAAATGTATTCAGAGATACTGCCGTGGTTGGTTGATCAGAAGTTACTTCTTGTGTCAAAGAGAGGCTGCAGTAAAGATCCAAAGTGCTGTTCGATGCCTCATATGCCGTCAGGCATTTCATCGTCGTAGACAAGCTGCAATGAAAATTCAACCGATAGTCAAGGGGCAGATTAGTCGAAATAGGCTCTTAGGTATATTAGTACAATTTTCCCCAATGGTTCTAGTTGTGAGTTAAATTTTACTTATAGTTTAGAAATGTTTATGGTTTTGGTTTGTTGCAGGTGCTTCTTCCCTACGTCCAGTCATCTCCAATGGTTGTCTTTCAAAGAGCACAGTAGCCTTCTATAAGAGTGCTGAACTAAATAAAGTCTTTTGCTCTGTGTTGAAATTGCAAAGGTGGTGGAGAGGTGCTATGTTGCTAAAGTTAAGAACAAAGTCTGCAGTCATTATTCAATCTCATATTCGAGGGTGGGTGGATAGGCAAAAAGCTACTGGAGAGAAGCAATGTATTGTTGTAATACAAGTAAGATATTCTATATTTGTTGCAATTTACCATATCATACCATTTATGTTTTTTTTTCCCTTAATTTCTTTTATTCTGTTGATCTCTATTGTCACTTGATGTGGCCAAAGTGGTACCAGATACGCTCTCACACATATACTCGTTTCATGTAATAGTCCGTGTACATTTCTCATGATTTTGATTTGACATGAATGTAAAAGCATGTTTTAGCAGTTATAAATGTTAAACTAGTTGAATTGGATTTTCGGAATTCGGCAAATTTAAAAATAAAAATAAAAACTGTTTTGAGTGACAGTCATGGTGGAGAGGTTACTTGGCAAGGAAAAAAGAGACAGGAGGTGAGCTACTGGATTTGCGCTTGAGAGTGCAAAAGTCTGCTGCGAATGTGGATGATAGCATGCGCATTATTAACAGACTTGTGGCAGCACTTTCAGAACTACGAACAATGAAAAGTATCAGTGGCATTCTTCATACTTGTGTTACTTTGGGTAAGTGTTTAATGATTGTATGATGCTAAAACTCCATTTCCAACATCTTGTCTTTCCATTTCTCCTGCATGAAATCGAATCCTTGCGTGATACACTTTTGACTCTTATATACAGACAAGGCTACACAACATTCTCATAAATGTTGTGAGAAACTTGTGGAGGCAGGAGCTATTAAAACTCTGCTGAAGCTTTTTCGGTCAGCCAGCAGAAGCATACCAGATCAGGAGGTTCTGAAGCACGTCCTCTCAACTCTAAGGAACCTTGCCCGCTATCCACATCTGGTTGAAGTGCTCATTGATAGTCCTGGGTCTGTAGAAACTGTTGTAGGGGAGTTCCTAAGGTTCGTATTATTTAAGTTAGATTGTATATTTAAGTTAGATTGTATGGGGCCTTTTTTGTCATTGTATGGGGCCCTTTTTGTCATCTTGGGTTAAGGGCTATAACCTAATTTAATATCAGGAACAAGGAGGAGGGTTATTTCATTGCTTCTGAGCTTATGAAGAAGATATGCGCTAGTCGTAAAGGCGTTGAAGCTGTACGCAGATCACCAGCCCTTTTGAAAAGGCTCCACAGTCTTGTTGAGGAACTTAGCAAGAAGGCCAACAATGAGAAGAGGTTGGATTTCAGCAAAGAATCTCTCTTCTTTTATTTTATCTGTTGAGCTTTAAACCTTAGTGTTATCTTATGCAGGAACGCCCGAGTTACAGTTGGTAGAGAATATACAGAGAGAAGATTAAAGGAGGCTGTTGAAATTCTGAAACTGGCCACAGCAGGAAGGCTAGGTTTTTGAGTTTGCGGGCAATGTGTAAAAAACTGTGTTTTGTGAGGATCTGATGTGCATATTTGCCATTGAATTTACACGTTCAATGGGGAAAAGAAGGGGTAAGGGCAGGGCAATTTGATTGCATAGGGTAAAAACTTATGACGTATCTCAAATTGAATGCTTGGTTTTTACCACTGTAAAAAGTTGGTGCAATGTGATGTTGAAAGCACATGGTTTTCAGCCAACTTGATCCCTGCACTGCGTAGTCCCATCAATATTTGAGTATTTGCCAAGGTGTTAGTAGTGAAAGTAACCAATCTCTCTCTAAACTTTTATTGAAAAAGAAAAATGAAAAAACAGCCCATGGGTTTCTTATGAGACATTGCATCTTGTGGTCCTATGACTGGCGCCGGCAAATCATCTTCTCAGAGTTCAATTCCCAACCATAGTCTAAAATATATATAATATCGATGAATATCGAGAATATTATCGTTTTTTCAAGTTACGGATATTTCGGAATGTATCCATACACATATCGTATAAATATTGATAATATTGAAAAATATCGATGTTGATAATTTCGCTCATACTTTAGCAATATTTTATCAAAATATCGCTATAATATAGCTATGATATCAAAAATATCGATATAATTAAGAAAAAAAAAGCAAAGCACACGCACAAAGAGGATTCAAACCCTTAGCATTTCACTCCTCCAACACCTTTAACCACCATGTTAGTTATATTTTTGTGATAATATGCTAAAATATGTATATTTATATTGTTTTGTTTCCTTGCAAGAATTATATTTTCACATGAGAATGTGAGTCTTTGACCTTTCTTTTTTAGATAGAATCAAGCGGCTCATGGAAAGAATTCGAGACTCAAATCTTCAAATGATTTTCCTTATAGACAGCGTCAACCAATCTCGGATTCATATGAGTAGCATGTTAACAATTACATTCAAAACTATTTTGGAGATTTATCATTTGATGACTACTCTTCATAATACACTTATTCTACACATAAAGATAATGAAGATAGTGAAAAATTTAAACCTCGTAAGAACTCTATGTGATACTAAGTTACTCATGTATCTTACCATGCAATGTATAAAGTGTAAAATATTGTAGTAAATCATTATATATATAAATGATTATAGTGTGTTTAATATTCTTTCCTTAATTACTACATATTTTCTACACTCTATGTTTGTCAGCTCGTTATATAATCAACTTAAATCAGTTAAACCTATCATGTAATGCATTTCCTTCCAATTTTTTGTGATAAACTAATAGATAATTGACTAAATAAATATCCTCCAAAGTTTTAATAAAAATTTCCAAGTTTTTCTTACAATTTCCGTGGTTTTTATTCAATTTTTATCAATATCGATAATATCTCGATATTTCTCTTGAAATTTTCATGTTTTTGAACTACCGATATTTCCGATACCATCGATATTTTAGGCATTGTTTCCAACAGATTCCCGATCCGCCTCGGAAAATATCTACCACAATAAATTTGACTGAACAAAATCCTTTTCGTGCATCTGGCCAACTGTGCAAGTTATCTGTTTGGTTTGATTTGGACGTGACGTAAGATATTTTTTGGCACTAGTTTTATCTTCTGTCTTCAATTTCCCATATATGGTTATATTTCCTTCATTGGAAATGAAACATCACTCTCATCAGTTTGTATGACAAGAAATTTGAGAGAAACCAATAGAACAGATCTAAAACGTTCGTACAAGAATGTGAGAACTCAAATCCAGCACAATCCACCAGCGCTTAGGAAAAAATAATATCCCACAATTAGAACTTAGCACCTAATTATAACATAATAATTGCCATGTTTGAAATCAAGCAGCCCTTGCAAGAACTTCAAGCCGTTCTGGGACATCAGCTGGGTCAATATAAAAAGTCCTCCTTAAAGATCTTGGCACTGTGACTGTCAATACTCCATCTTCATATCCAGCTGAAATCCTTTCGAGATCAACCCTACCTGGAATCCGAAACTTCCTCATAAAGCTCCTGCTGGGCTCTGTGGCTTCATCAATTCTCTGTGTTCGAATTATGAGGTATATTGAATCCTCTACTTCTACTTTTATTTCCTCTTTCCTAACACCTGCTCATATGCATAGTACAACAACCAAAAACAAAGCTTCATAACCATTCCAACGGAAACATAACAAGAAAGGTGAATTAAAAAGGACTAAAAGAGGTCAGACGTGAGTCATGCCAGTGGATTAGGGCAGTGAGCCCATTTCTTACACCCAAGTTCGAATTGCCTCCTACTAAATTAGATTAATTTAGAGTTATTTAGACTATCGCTTGCATAAAAACCCATAAAAGAAAAAGTAAGAGGGATTTTTAAACTTACCAGGGAGGTCAGCAGAGAAAATGTGAGACTCTGGGGTCTCAGTCCAGTGGACGTAGTTTTCAGGGGCCAAGTGATATGGATAAAGGAGATGAGAAGGGAAGACATATTGGTAAGTGTGGAAGGCTGGGAGCTCCATTGCTTTAATTTACAGGAGCCAAGAGGAAATGGTTTTCTTGCAGGACAGGGGTATAAATATAAAGTATCTAGACTGGGATGAGGCAGGCAGTAGCTTAACACAGAGGGAAAGAAAGGTTGTTTGGCTGGCTTTTATAGGCCTAGTGGCTTTTATAGGCCGAGTGGATCTAAAAACTTGGACTCAAGGTAGGTTGGTTGAGTTGGCTTTTCAAACTTTGACAGAGCATTGTCTTCGACCTATCCTTGGTAGTTGCTCAAAAGCTTCAAAATGTGGCGGGTGCTAATTAAAAGAGCTTATCACCTGCCGCTTGCGTACGTACTAATTTCAATGGGTTGGCAAAATAACTACCAGAATGGCAGGCCGCAAACTTTTGAGGAAGATTGATCTGACCACGTATGATTTTTATCTAATCAAGGTTTTCTTGCTCTAGAAGTTGACGAAGAATTTGTCTATGGACGTGGATAAAATTTGACCATTGATGTTTTCGGCGCCTCACATGCATCATAATTTAAAAAAATTAAAATAAAATTGCCCATAATTGTGGACGACTGTTCGTAGCATACCTCTAGAGGGTCGAGTGTCATAATCCCAATTCGGGTTATAATGTTAATCACTATATAGAATTGAATATGACTTATATGGAAATAGGGATTCCAGCGACTGAAAATATCATATTGCCGGATATACATTCACAAGGACTTACACAAAAACCCCCAGTATCAAACATGTATTATTACATGAGCCTCTACCGGAATTGATGCCATCGCAGCCTGAGACAGTGGCTGAGAACAAATATATAGAACCAAGATAAAGCTCAAGTCTAGCAGCAACTGAGTTCACAGTTCAATGGGAGAAAACAAGTAAATGAAGTAATGCTAAGGTTACAATCTTCATGGCAAAGATGGTGATTAGCTGTCCCATTCATCCCTAGCAAGTCATTGCCATTTGCCATCACAGAAAGAGAAAATCATTAGAGAATTAAGTACAACGATCAGAAATAAGTTCAGGTTGAGACTTCAAACTTCATGGTTCCCAACTCATGTATTTACCCCAAGCACAAAACCATTGCTATAAGAAGGAAGATTGCTAGAAGGCTCGTGATGTTTCACCGGTGAGCGGAAAGGATTTGGCATCACAGGATGTGTGATATACAGTCCAGCACTTCGTAAAACCTGTTTAGCGTTTGCACATGAGATTTCAGATTGATCTGTGAAGAAGGCTGGAACGCCCATGGACTTAATTGAGTTAAGAGCTCCACCCCAAGTTGAATAGCAACTCAATCCACAGTTTAGTGCAACAATAACATGAGGTGAAGGTAGGTAGGAGGCTTCCTCCTCATAAACACCCCTGACAAGATTCACTCTCACTCTGCTACCAATTCCTGAAGTTGTACCTGACAAATTTGTTGGAACTTCAGAACCCACCATAATAATTTGTACATTGCCCAATCCATTGAGCAAATGACCAACCTCTGCAAATGCTGGCATCCAATCCAACTCTCCCTCTGGACCTAGGTAGTGGACAACCACCTCCTTACCTTTCATTAGTAAGTTCTTTGAACTGATGTTGAGAGTTGTCAATATGTAATAAACGGTCAATGGGTGGGAGAGGATGTCGGCAATGGGGCTTGACAATGGCAGCGAGCGAAGATTATAGTATTCCGACCAGCCAGAGAGGAGGATTGGACTTGACATACCATCTCTTACATGATGATGAAAGGACGAGTCATGTGGAAACTCTTCATCATTGAGCCCTCCCCAAGAATCCCAGAGTCCACCTTTAACAGGAAGAAGACCAAAGGGGCAGTGAGAATAGCAACTACACTTTCTCCTCCACATGCCCTTCTGATGGATGCCCAATGATTCAAGCCATTTACAAGGTTGGTCAGCAGCACAGGGGAACATGAAGATATTCATTGCCAGCTCTTCTTCCCTTTCCATCATAGCCTTGTAAAGACCACACATGCTCTTATGTGTTTCCTTCAGATGCTGCTTCTGGCAGACAGAACTGCAGTAGAGCACTGCTTGACATCGTACACACGAGAGAGCCTGTTCACCGTGGATTTCTTTCTCGCATGCTGCACACTGTCGCAAGTTGCCATTTGAGTAGACTCTTATATCAACAAAAGCCTCCTCCCTTGATAGTTCTGCATATTTGGTTGGGGTTGAGCTAGCCGTTGAACTAGTCTTTTCTTCATATGCCTGACCAGGTGGGTGTGAGATTGTAACTGCAACGAGATCATAACCTTTGGCCATTTCTTGTGGCCACTGAACATCAACCGTCTCGATAAATGGTTCAAAGTACATTAACCTTGACCACTTTGGACCACCTTCTTTGTCTTCCTGAAGCAATGGGTGCACCAGAGCTATGGCTTTCATGAATGCATACACAAACCTAAGCTCTTCAGGAGTTGGATGCCTAAATCTAAGAGTCCCTGACGACGTGCAGCGGGCAACATCAATAACAGGGAAGCGATCGATCCCTGATGCTTCCAATGACAAAGATTTGATCATTTTCCTATTAGAGGGAAACATCAATGACTCGCGTTCATATGTGACCCGTAAAAGCTCAACATTGGGCACCTGAATTGTCTCTCTTGAACCAGTCATCCTCTTAGCATCATTTTGAGATCGAAACATATTAAAGCCAATATCGCCACCATCCCCTCCAATGAATTGGACACATGGGAAAGGCTGTTTCTTGCCAGACCAATCCGTATCTTTCCCAACCCGGATGCCGAACAGATGCCCTGGGCACAATCTTTTCCATGGATCAGTCCTATATAGAGCTGCCGAAGCTTTAAACACTGACTTAATAAAATTTGGAGAAATGCCTTCTACCTTCATAAGACATGTCCCGGATCCAGGACCAAGCCCCGGACCAGACCCAAATTGCTCCTGGAATCTATCAAACACGTTCTTCAAATGCAAATCCATTTTTACCACAAGTACAAGATCTAATTACTTCCTTGATCACACCAGCAACCCAATACAAAATGACTATATACCAAGCAAATCCAATAACTCTAATCTGCAAAGGCTAAAAATTTTCGACCAAAGTTTGTTCTTTCACTCTGTATTGCTTCTAAGACAAAAACCCAGAAACTATATGGATTACTTCACAGTTGTAAAGTAAAAAATCCAAACTTCAGAAGAAAAAAAGAGAGCATCAAATCATGAATATGAGAGCCGAGATCATTCATTCACTTCAATTCAATGGCTACAAAATTACATAAAAAGCTGAATTAAACAAATGGGGATCAATATGAATTTCTAGCACTTCATGAACAGAAAGATTAGTGCTCCATACCAACCAGCTTCGCAGGCTGAGTAAAGTTGAAGACTTTTCTCTCTTTTTAAAGTGTCTGATGCTGCTGCCACCCAATGACGGAGTTCAAGAGAGAGAGTCAGATCCAGAGCATTGCCCAAGATTGAACCATTCAACTGTTTGTCTTGGCAAGTAAAAGTGAAGCTGAAAACTGTTTGACTTTCTTTTTTTTTACAGTGCGGACGACATCTTTTGTCTTTTCATAGTCGTATTTCGTCAGCACTGTTCACGATTGTCGGTTCTGATGAATATTGGGACGTCTGAGAGAGAGAACCGTTTCCGTTTATTTAGATTAAAACTGGGCCCAACGTGTAAATTTGGGCCCAACATACCCCGACTTGCCCAAATATATTACAATTCTACCACGCGATCGGCTTGCGTGGCCATTCCTAGAACCCACCCCTAATCCAACGTAATCACTGTCTCGACATTCAAAATCTCTCTCTCACTCATTGTCTCGTTCTCTCTCGCCCTTGCGATTAGGGTTTCTCTCTCTCCTCTTTCTCTCTCTAGATTCACACGATGATGCAACCTGGGGCAGGCGGTGTGGCTCCGTCAGCAATAAGCCAGCAGTACGGACAGCAGCCCTACATGATGATGGCGCCGCCTCCCCCGCCGACGGCCCAGGCACCCCCGATGTGGGCCCCGCAGTCCCAGGTGGCCCCACCGCCTGGGCAGCTCGTCCAGCAGCAGCCCCAGCCAGCCTCCGCCGACGAGGTCCGTACGCTCTGGATCGGCGACTTGCAGTACTGGATGGAGGAGACCTATCTCTACAATATTCTCGTTCACACCGGCGAGGTTCGTGCCTTATTTTGTTTCTTTTTGTTTTCAATGCTGAAAGTTCTGATTATTATTTATTAGATCTGTGGTTTGCCTTATATCAACCCAAGGAAATTCCTTTATACAAAAAAATTGGTTTGCCTTCTATTTTTGTATGTGTCTGTGTATTTAGATTGTGATGGCTTATAGGTATAAAAATGCGTTCTTGTATTCATAAAATATTTACTTGTTTGTGCTTTCAGCTTGTTTCTGTGAAAGTCATCCGCAATAAGCAAACTACACAATCAGAGGGTTATGGATTTATTGAATTCAGTAGCCGTGCTGCTGCAGAAAGAGTACTTCAGTCGTACAACGGTACCCCTATGCCAAATGGTGCCCAGAATTTCAGATTGAACTGGGCATCTGCAGGGGAGAAGCGTTCTGATGATACCCCTGATTATACCATATTTGTTGGAGACTTGGCTTCTGATGTGACGGATTACATGCTTCAAGAGACATTCCGGGCCCGTTTTCCCTCATGCAAAGGTGCCAAGGTTGTCATTGACAGGCTCACAGGGCGCACCAAGGGATATGGGTTTGTTAAGTTTGGAGATGAGTCCGAACAGTTGCGTGCCATGACTGAGATGAATGGAGTTCTCTGCTCAACAAGGCCTATGCGAATTGGGCCAGCTGCTAACAAAAATGCTGGGGGTAGTCAGCAATATTCAAAAGGTATAGTCTTGATGGTTTTGTGTATTCGTGGTTTTGTTGTAGCTGTCTGTGAAATTCTCTTGTGTTGTGTTTTGCGAGGAGAGAACAAGTACTTTAATTGGGTTTCCTTTCTCTATGACTGGTATTCCTTCATTCGTTTTTTCCAATACACATTACTAACTTGAATATGGAATGGGGAGGCAGTGTATTCCAGTTCTGATATGGTATCCAGTGTGCCAAACATTACTTTTAAGTTGGTTAAGTTTGCTTCCTTTCAGCTATACTCTCGAAGATGAGCAGTACTTTCCAAGTCATTTAATTCCTATAATTTTTTCAAAAAATTTGGGCAAGGTAAATGATATTAAAATCTCGAGAACTAAAAGAACTCCTGTTGTCTCAAAGCAGGGCGTCAGGAGGCTCTGTCATCTAAGGGCCTGCTACTGATTTCAGCTGAAATGGTTTCCCCTTTAGTGCGTGGCCTCGCTTAGGTCAGTTTCCCATTTAATGTATTGGCCTTTATTCTGATGTGGCATTTGTCATGCTACATTTTCGAATTTTAATTTTTTTTTTCCAGCGCATTCAGTTGGTTCAACTTTCAATAAGTTACATATTGTGACTGTTCTAGTTTCACTCGAGCATGTTCCCACTTTACTGGTAGAGAAGTTCGCTTGTTTTTTTCTAGTAACGTGTCAGCAAAATTTACATCTTTGATTCCTTATGTATCGTACCCTTCTGCCATTTAGTTAAATTTTATTGTTCCCCCTTGTGATCCACATATTTCCTGATTTTGATTAATCTTGTAGTCTTTAATCCCTGAGAAAGGGTTCTGGAAGGAGTGCATGTCGCAACTTACAACTCATTGGAATTTACTGCACCTAGCAGGCTGGCCATCATTGGGAATCTTGCGTTATAATTAAGTCTTTGTCTTGATATGACTAGGTTTTACCATGGTAATATAAGCCAGACTGGTATGGAAGTCGGTTCGACCGAGATAACCATGCACTGCTACTTAATTTAGGTTGTTTGATTCATTGGACCGAATTAGTGAACTGGATAACTCCATGTAGATAGGAATGTTACTCAGGAAGCTGGTAAAGAACTAGTTGGTCCAACTGGTTAAACAACTTTGACAGCCAAATAAGTAGGTCTTACATGCTAAGTTTCAAACCTCTGACCCAGTAGCACATGGAGAAATGTGGCACCACCATGAGTATACCCATGGTTTGCCAGTCTTTGAACAATCCTTTTCCATCTTTTCTTTTGTACAGTTAAAACACCAGTCGATAACTCCAACTGTTATTTTGCTTGTATGCCAAGCCTGGTATCTTCTCTATTTTGTTTTGGCATTAGCCTTGGCATAAAAAATTCTGACCTGGTTTTTCTATAGTAATATCTCATTGGTAACAGTGGTCATCCATACTGATGGAAACTCATATTCAGATGAACAAATTTTTATAATTTTTCTTCTGTCTGATTTTATTTAACTAATGAGTCGGGTTTGCTATTGGCCTCTCCCACCTGGTTTAATGTGCATTACAGTTTCACTCCATATGTTGGTTAGACCAAATAGATAGTGTTCGTTTAGGGATTAGCAGGTTGGCATTTAAAGCCTTGTCCTCATTATTTTTCAGCATATATAGGTGCACATGCATATGGTTTTCTAGGGTGCATGATGCTTGTTGGGCCTCTTACCATTGGTGCAAGGTGGATAGATGATATTAATTCTGACTTGGTCTTCAAATTGTTATGAGAATGTGTCTTCTTTGATTTGTTCAACAATGCAAGTACTAAGACACAGTGAGCATCCCGTGAGCATTCTTGAATTGTATTAGGATAGTGGCTATCTGTATTTTTGGTCTGTACCTATAGGATATCGGCAGCTGATTTGTTTATGTTCTTTTTGTTCATTTTTCTTCTTTTTCTTTGTTGGGAGAAAGAATAGCCAGTTGTCAGCTTGTCTCCTCTGGTGTTTGTTTTTAAGATTGATAGGATCAAAGGTTGTAAACTGTTGTTCCAAAAGTATCTCAGCTGTTAGTTGAACTTTTCCACATGCAGGTTCATATCAGAATTCTCAAGGTTCAAAGAATGAGAGTGATCCGAACAATACAACTGTGGGTACTTTTTGGAATTTTCCTTTGGAAATCACTTAGCAACGTATCTCTGACTTTATTGATTTCTGCTGCAGATATTTGTAGGTAACCTGGATGGTAATGTTACTGATGACCATTTGAGACAAGTCTTCAGCCAGTACGGTGACCTGGTACATGTGAAGATACCAGCAGGCAAGCGATGTGGGTTTGTTCAGTTTCAAGACAGGTAGGCAGATCTGCTGATAGTCTTCTTTTTGGAGATGTTTTATGTTGGAATATCACAGAAACTAACTATTCTGTTTTGTATTTATGCAACAGAAGCTGCGCTGAAGAAGCATTGCGCGTGTTAAATGGATCTCAGTTGGGTGCACAAAATATCCGTCTTTCATGGGGCCGCAGTCCTTCAAACAAGCAGGTGCTTTGCTTTAACTTAACATTTATAACTTGGAAATTTGCAGATTCCCCCTGAACTTAGACTGATATGTCTATGTTGGCTTTTTCAGCCTCAGGCAGATCCTAACCAATGGAATGGCGGTGGCTACTATGGATATGCACCTACTCCCGATGGTTATGGGTACGCCCAAGTTTCTCAAGACCCTAGCATGTACTATGGAGGATATCCTGCTGGGTACGGTAATTACCAACAGCCACCACAGCAGCAGCAGCAGCAAGTGGGATATAGCTGAGTGTTGAGAGCGTTTTTCAGTGTTCACTAGAGACCGATAATAATATTGTGATACTGTTTGAGGCTGAACATCTTTCTATGTTTTATGAGAAGTACTTTTTGCGATGTGATCTTGTATTGCCAAGATTGCATGTTACTTATGGAAAGCCTTCTGGAATCTCTCTTTATAGTTTTGTAAGCTCTTTGAATTATAGTTCCCTGCTGTCTGTCGAGGCCATAGTCATGAATCTGTAAGGTTTCAACAAGAGCTACGAGATTGAAAAGAAAGCTTTCAAGCTGTCAAAACCAGTTTTTCTTAGGTTCTTTGTTCAACTCAAATGGCTTAGAAATACGGCAATAGGGAAGGTCCATCCTAAAAAACAAAAAAAGGTATAGCCGACCGGCTATACTATTTAAATATTGTAGCCGCGCGGCTATACACTTGAAATATATTTATCTAAACTGTATCGCCGAGCCGCTGTACTTTTTAAATGATAATTTATTTAAACGGTATAGCCGTCCGGCTGTACCCTTTAAACATTAATTTATTTAAAACGTATAGCCGACGGGTTGTACTAGTCAAATATTAATTTGTTAAACAGTATGGCCGCCCGGCTACATCCTTTAAACTCTTTAAATATTAATTTATTTAAACAGTATAGCCGCGCGGCGGTACTCATTAAATATTAATTTGTTAAACAGTATAGCCGCTCGGCTATAATCTGTAAACTCTTTAAATATTAATTATTTAAAACGTATAGAATATTAAAATTCAAGTGTATCATTCGGAAGCCACAAAACCCTAGCAAGGGGTTTGTAGATTAAGATAATCACTACTTTACCCTTATTATATTATATATTTTTTAGTGTAATCTTAATAAGGGTATTGTTGGCACTTTGCCAAAAAAGATTGACAATGGGCCTTCTCAATTATTTAGTATAGATTTTACGAGAAATTGATGGAGTGATCCTTCAATTCAAACAACCCGTAAAGTTTTACAGACCGGCAAACCAGTTTTGACTTATTTTGGCTCTTTGGCCGTTTTCGATGCACCTTTGTTACTTCGAAATTTAATGATTGATCTGTGCTTGATAGGTAATGAAAGGCTGAACTTCTTGTTGTCAAGCATCGAATTTGTTTGTAAATTGTAAATTTGAACATAGGAGGCATTGAAGCATTCCAAGAAATACTTTGTATGAATGAACTGGATTATGAAATCTGCTCATGTTTCTCAAGCAACGTTTGTAAGACAACTAGTTACATCTGTGAATTTGAATACTAGGTTATGGCATTCAGTTATGATTGAAATATTTGTATGAATGAACAAGGCTATGATCTCTTCCTACAATCATAATTTGTCGAAGCGAGTAACAGCGACTGATCAAAAATTCGCGGCATCTCAAATCCCTATAAACTTCTGTTTCTTGGCTGTGTTCATGTATCACTTGGAGACCCATTCATCCTGGGCTTCAGTCTGATCCAGTGTTCCCATCTTTATCTGCAACATCAAAGAAGGAAAAAACGTAAGCAAAATAATACAATGAAATATTAATTAAACAATGTACTAGAGTCATAGACGGAAAACCTCAGGTTCAACTCAAACCATTTTGGCCAGACCAATTTAAACATTTAACTTGATTTGTCTAATAACTACTCTTGGTCTTGGGGAATAACCACCCACCCTTTCCCAAAATATTTTTTAGGTGAAAGGGTAGGGCCACAGGGAAGAAAGGCTAAGATGTTCATGCTTCAATGGGCAAACCGACCATCCGCAAATGGCTGTAACCTTAGAACCAGACATATTGAAGTATTTTGGGTGCAGTATGAAACAGTACAAAAGGTGCACAGGCACAAAGGCAAAAAGAGTAGAAATAGAAAAATATACACAAACCAGTAAATTAAATTGAATAAAAGAGAGCAAGTGTGATATCAATGCAAGAAGCACAAATCCTTGACCGTACAGGTGAAAAGCATTAACCTTGAAAAGCTTCATTTCAAACTGAGGGCCAATCTCCTCCAGCTCGATGGATTTAGGACCTCCATGCTTCCCATAAGTATGATGCCTGTAGGTTCTCAGTTTGTTAACGGAAAAGCAAAGCAACACGTGCACATTTAGCGAAGCATAGAATCACAAATAAGAAAACTCACTTACTAAATCAATACCTAAAGACACAGCAGGGAAAATAAAAGCACAAATGAGACAATTAACCTGAATGAAATATAGTCTGACCGATTGGAAAAAGTGATTATGCGTTTTGTATCTGGCTTTGGCACAGGAAAGATGCTTCAAAATATTTGCTATTCTCTCACCCAACTATCAATACATCAGGAAGAGAAAAGATAATATAATATTATGTTATTAGGGTGGTAACAAAGAAGGCCAACTCAGAAATAGGAGTGACGTATTTCTACATAAGATTAAGGTTCTATGCAAACCCAAAATAATAAGCCATCAGGATAGGTTATTAATACAGACAAGCACCAAAATAAACCAGCAGAGGATAAAATGGTGATTCAAAGGGTGAGACTCCTCAAAATTTCAGTCAGTTGTTAATTCATGAAAACAGTACTGGTCATTTATTCACAGAACAATTATATTCTGTGAACAATGCTATTAATCCATAGGGTCTTATCTTTCTTCGCAAATATACTGTGTAATGAGAACAATCAAGATGAAGATACCTTGGTCGTGAAATTGTCAAGAATCAAATGTGGATAAACCTGCGGCATCGTTCCCATAGCTTTCTTGTCCTTTATGTCATGTCTTGTAACCTATTAAGTAAAATATTTTCAGCAAAATGCCCAAACTATTAAGTTCAAGCATAGATACAGTAAAAAAGCAACAAGGTCAAAAAAGGATCAAGCTCATAAATCTCATTAATTTAACGGGTTTAAATTTCAATGTTCATCATGATTGGCATACTTCAATTGTCACTATCAACTCTTCCTATTATATTTCTTTGCACTAGGAAGCTGATGTTTTTATATTGAAAAAAAATTATAATCTTTTGATCATCATTCTTCTCTTTCACTTTTAAAAACTCTATCTCTGCCACAATTTTCCTATGTTTTGCTAAGAACCCTAGAAAATTGTGGTCTGGATTCTTTTTCTGCAGTCCTAAGTCAGTTTTAACATCAAATATTTATTTTACATTAACACAGATCATTACACTACTTACCACATTGAGCAGTTCAAAAAACGCCGTTGGACCAAAGGGAAGGTGGATTATAAACAAACCATCAGGTATGCCACGATTTTCGTGAACCAACACAACATCTGTAAAATCATGTGCCCGGCAAGTTTCAATAATTTCAGAAGTAACCTGCAGGGTTTGGGAGAAAAAAAAAACTTATTGTCAATTAGATAGTCTACTGTGGAAAACAGACCAAGGGATCAGAACTATGGCAGGGATATCCTCAAATGTGATATGCCATCGAGAAAGAATTCTAACATCTGAGATAGATAGAATAACATCATAAAAAATTGAAGCAGTCATTTGCCTGGAAAAAGATATTCACCATGTTCTCAAATGTAGGGGTCAATCTAGACATAATTGCAACACCAGATAAATGGTGAACAGTAAAAGACTGAACAAACTGGACTGAAAAATCCAAGGAAAATATGTGCTAATGAAGGAATGTGGAGTAGCACGTGGTTGACGATGTGACACATAACAGAAATGAAACAGCACCACGCACAAAAAATTATTTGCAAATAACAATTCCAGGGGAGCTTTTTTAATTTCTGGTGCCTATGGAAAAGTTGAAATGACAGAGCTTCTATGATACTTTTATGGACTTAGAAACACAACCTGTACATTAATATTGTTAGAAGAAACACTAGTCCAGCCACTTTATTACTAGTGCAACGATTAGGTTGATTTTTACAAGGTAAGTGGAGTTTTCTCTTAGCAAGTCTTGCATTTATGAGTTCATGTTAAGCAAATAGCAATTAATCCTAATTGATTAACTTCATAGTAGGCTCAATTTCTGTTACAGGTGTAACACCTCCTACAACATAGTTTTTTTTTTATAAACAAGGGAGGGGGCATTCAAACTTGGGATCTCTTCCAAAATTAGGAAGAGAAACACCAGTAGACATAAGAGCTAGTCGGTTCCCGACAACATAGTTAAAATGGTGAACAAATTATTTTCAAAAACTAGATGTCCATATAAAAAAATAGAACTGTGAAATAATTCACTGTTGCATTCATATAAAAGATTCAACAGATCAGGGTTCTCAACAAGCCCACAGGAAGAGGAGACCGAACAGCACGGCCCAATCTCACAAACACTCCTAGCACCAAAACGTCCCACATACCTAAGTCCTAATTTCCAGACTAAACCCCTAAGTCCGGGGCGTATATTTGATATCAATGTAAGAACAAGCAAAACTTGGAAAACGCTAATCAAGAAACAGAGGATTTATGTAAAGACAAATAGGAAAGAAAAATAAGCTGGACAAATTTGGGAAAAAAAAGTTCACCAACCTGGCCACCACGGTTCATTTGTTGTGCATTAGTAAAAACAAGGTTCAGTTCCTACAACAATGTTATGTGAACCACAATGTCACTAACCAAAATCAAATTTGCATAATATGACCCAACAAAGTGAACACAAAAAGTGCAGCTAGATGAATAAGAAATTGAAACAGGCTAAACCAACCTTTGCAAATTGTACTAGCGGAGCACTCGGATTCCGGGAAGTAGTTATCAAAATCTTGGGATCCCTTTTTGCTGCCTTTGCATACTCATTGTCGATATGTGTCCTTGGTACTAGGATTCAGAAACGAAAACCATGAAGAATTGACCACATGATAAAATGTAAAACTAAAAATTTCAGGGCACTTGGATGTTAAGAATATTTCGAGTTTTTATTTTAAGGGAGTTTCACTAAAACACCCAAAATGGAGGCTGAAATTATAAAAAAACCTAACACCCAAAACCCATCATTACACACACTCAAAACCCATTTATAAACACACCCAAAAAATATACAATTGTTGATTTTGGGGTTGATTTTGAATGTGTTTCTATGTTTAAATAGTATTTGGGTTTTTTTAGAAATACATGTCTAGAATTGGGTTTATTTATAAATTTGTATTATTTTAAATTATAGAAGAATACTAACCCTTCCTACTTTCTGTTTAGTACATCAAGAATAAAAGGTTTCTACAGCATCCAAAAACCATGTACCATGTGATCAGTTTATGTAAAACCCTCATCTTTGTTCCCATATTTTCATAAACAAAAAGTTGCCACATTTTCATAAAACAATAAGGACATTGGCGGTCTAGACAACCAAAGAACAGTCATACCAGCAGTGTTCTCATCTTCGAGATCGATTTCTCAACGAAGCACTGCCTCTTCATTCCGAAGCTCAGTGGGAATCGGTTTTCCCTCTGCAACAAAACAAAAAGGTGCCCCAGATTAAGTAGAAAAAAACAAAACTTCAACTGCAAACACAAAGATAGAGGGGAACCTTGCAGAGCTTCTCTAATCTTGCGCTTCTTCTCGTAGATAAGGCGTTCTTTGCCTTCTAAGCTATTTCTGTACAAATATTTCCTCAATCGAGTATTTCTTCTCAACATAATTGATCGCTCTCTCATGGCTCAGGAATGGTGATGTCGACGAGAGCGAGACAATAGAGTGAGTTCATCTCTACCCGTCGTTTTGAAAGCAAAAAAGGAAATTGTTTTTGAAAGTCTTGTTTCCTATTGGGCTTGAAAACCTAATGTCACTTGTTATACGATAGGCCCAGATTGCCAGAATAGAGGCTTCTATAATCTACCACTACCTTCGTGCGCTCTCTTTCTCTCTCTCTCTCTCTCACTTACACACACAGCTTCGTCGCTCTGATCTCTTCTTCCGACGAAAACGTTTCAGTGGCGAGGTAAAGTCTTCTCTCTCTTCGTTGGAGCTTCAATTCGCTTCACTTTTATCGCTGACCAATATCCTTCTGATGTTTTTGTCTTGCTATTTCTTCTCTTTGCTTCTAGACTTTGCCTTTTTTTTTTCTTTTTTTTTTTCTGGTTTTGGTTTGTTTCTTTTTTCTCTAGATCAATTTCGTTGCCTTTTGATCGACCGTACATTATAGAAAATACCTGCATTGTCAAAGATTTGTTCTTTCTCTCTCTTTTTAAATTTCCGAATTGAAGTGGAAGAAAATTGTTCATATTTTACGAACCTTGCATCATGCCATTGTTGTTAAAGATGTATAACCTTTGAGGAAATTCTTCTTGGCAGGGCTAGATTGCTCGATGGACATAATCTCCCAACTACAGGAACAAGTCAACACAATTGCTTCTCTTGCCTTCAATACCTTTGGAACACTACAAAGGGATTTTCCTCCAGTTAGACTTTCACCAAATTACCCAGAACCACCTGCAAATCCGACGGAGGACGCAGAGAATTTTGCTGAACAAGCCAAGCTCATGAGTGCAGCTCTGGTTAAGGCTGCTAAGCAGGTGCAGCATTTTTCTGTTTTTGATAATCTACTATTATCATGAATCATGATCAACTAATCAAAATGTTGTTAGTTTTAGCTTGTTCGCGGTCAAATTGTTAACGGCATAATCCTTCTCTTGTCAGTGCAATCCTTTCTTTTCGTTATGTGATATGATTTGATGTGCCAAGAACATCTCATTTATCAATTCGACTCGTCCGCTTCTTGAGTTGCTCAACTAAGATACTACCGCCACTGATTCTTGCACAGGTTGATGCATTAGTTGCAGCACTTCCTTTAGCTGAGGGAGGGGAAGAAGCACAGCTGAAATGGATTGCAGAACTGCAGGTATGGAGTTCACACATTTCTCCATCCAAGGTCTTCATATTGCTTCATTTGACTAGACTTCGTACACCTTCTTTCTTAAACTTTTGGTGAAATTGTTTAGGCTGAAAATGACGCTGTTGGCCAAGAACTTCAGAGGCAACTGGAAGCTGCAGGTGTATCTTTCCTTTCCATCTTGCTATTTTTATCATACTTGTGCTCTTGAGAACTACTACCTTTCACTAAATATACAATAGTCATGAGCTTTTTTTTTATGTTTCATGGTGCTTGCGCCAGATTATTTGTCTTTTTTTCTTGTTATGACTCTGATAACTAACAAGTTCAATCGTATTGTGATGTCAGAGAAAGAATTAAAGGAGGTCCGTGAATTGTTCAGCCAAGCAGCAGATAATTGCTTGAACTTGAAGAAACCCGATTAAAGATGTAGTGTCTTCTGTCAATGTAAAACAATCTGTAATCTCTCAGGTCTCCCTGTTCAAATTTTCATGACAGCTTCAACTTTTTTAAAAAAAAATTTACAAATTATGAACTCCTAAATGCTTAGAGTTTTGGGCTTAACAAATGAAAAGAGGTGATTCTTGTGTATGTTTTGGCTTTTGTTGTTTAACATGCCGCATGACCAGGAAGCGACATAATAACCTCAACAATACGATGACAACCCATCTACTTGAGGAGATGGTACAGATGGATGTGACCAATGATTAATTAACACTAATAACTCGATTATAATTAATGTTATAGAGGCGAGAGTAACCAACCAAAGATGAGTTTGAAAGATTTGTTTCTTCTATGCAAAAAATAAAATAAAATAAAAGATTCTTGTGTTTCAAGACATCCTTTCTACTCATGTTACCATTAGCAAGGGTGGTCATCTCAAGCCGTTCAATATCAACTTTGATTGATCCATCTGAGAATGACACATTTCATTGAGTCAGAAAATTTGACTTTCAGCTCATTCCTTGGTTATGCCTCAAAGATATCCCATTCTTTTAACGTATTAATAAAAGAACCCAGTCAAAATCCAACCAAACATTCAGCTTAACCAAAAACATGTTGGGGCTGCCTGCCGCAATATGATTTTCCGCTCATATTGTGTCACGGAATTTATCATTTATCAGCATCCAAGTTCTAACCTGTCCTGTAGTACCCAAAGGAACGCATTTTCCAGATGCACAAAGCGACCTGAACGCAGGTCACCCTGCAATTGATACTTAAACACCGCACAAAGCAAAACATGATTTGGAAAAGAGAAAACCAAAAAGTACAGAAACTTCTTAGTTGCCTGCAAGAAAGCCCTTCAAAGATAATGGAGGGATAACCATCAAACAACTAAACAAGTACCAACATCATCCAAACGGTAAAAATTGGAACCAGGCTGAAATGAATAAACTGATAACAAAAACCATAACCATCCTTAGCTGTCAATAGTAAAGAAAGTCTGATACTATAACTGTGTCTTTGTCATACTCCTAAGAATTGAAATCATTAGCAACTACTTTTACCTGTTTATTCCTAGAGCCTTGATACGGCATGCATCATCTGTCTAACTCTCCTGCTTTTTCTGTCACAAACAAAACTCAGACCCAACCACATTGTTTGATGCTACAACGTGGATCTAAGATTGTGTAGGTGGAATGACATCTTCGACATCACAATCCACATTGCTAATGGCACCAGAAGAACTAGAGATCTGAGGTTCAACCATTCCAGTAGGAATAGATCCTTCAGATGCAAGCTTCAATTCAAATGGAACAGTCTCTCCCCCAAACATCTGGCTGGGCTTTGGCGCAGGGTAAGCCTGTTCTTCCATCACAATGTTGACTGGTTTACTGGCTAGATCAGAAGACATGCATGCAGGTTCAGCAAATACAGGAGTTTGGTTGAGTTCAATATTCAGGCTCTTTGCCACATCATGAACCAATGCATTCTTTTCAGGACCCACATCCACAGCTTGAATTTGAGAATCCTTAAATATGGTTTCAATGCCTGGTATCACAGAAACTGGTGCAGATTCAGAAAATACAGGAATTTGATTGAGTTCAAGATTCAGGCTCTTAACATCATCACGAACCAATGCGCTCTTTTCAGAATCCACAGCCTGAGGTTGAATTTGAGGATCCTTACCTACGGTTTCATCAGCTGGAATGACAGCAGTTGCTGCAGGTTCAGCAACTACAAGAGTTTGATTGAGTTCAAGATCAAGGCTCTTTACTTCATCATGAACCAATGCACTCTTTTCAGAATCCACAGCCTGAGTTTGAATTTCAGGATCCTTAGATACCGCTCCAATGCCTGGTATGTCAGCAACTGGTTCAGATGCTGATTCGGTTTTTGATGCTTTGTTGGCCTCTGCACTATTTGGTCCTTCCATTATTTCGGTTGCTTCAACTTCCTCCAACACTTTATTCTGTTCAACAATGTAATTAAGCTCTGACTGTCCCATTGCAAGGGCAGATTGGCTATGAGTTACAGGCTCCAAAATTTGTTGTGGCATGACTTTTCCTTCCAATGAAAGGCCTACATCATTCTTCGGCAAAATAACAACTGGAGGAATCATAACAGAGAAAGATTTGCTTTCAAGTGACTCCAGTCCGCCAGGGATGGAGGATTGAGTTTGGTCTGGAACTGTAGGTGTTTGGTTTTTCACCTCAGCAGGTTGCCTATTACTTTGCTCTGATGGGCGGGCAGAACCATAAAGCTGAGATTGCAGGTTGAGAGGCGGTATGGGAATATCTTTTCTTTTGCACATCTTAATATGAGGAGCAATGTCATTTGCTGGAGTAATTGGAGCGATTTTCTCTTGTAGAAATACGACACCCCTCAGCTGAGTGTCAGTGTCTCCTACCCTGACATTGAGAAGATAGCCAGCATCAAATGAACCTTCAATCACTCCAGTGACTACCTGACCTACCATTTCACTCTCAACATCATCACTTGTACTATGTTTGTTTTTCTTCAAACTTTCAGCTCCAGGCACTGCAGTCGCGCTCTCTACATGAACAAGATTCTCATCCTTGCGTGGGCGTCCACGTTTTCGCTTCATAGGGGGGTCTGGCGAAGATAAAGAGCTCGTTCCTTGACTCTGTTGATTCATGCTGCACATAAGCACGCAAAAGTAACAGATTTCGCACAAGTTCTAAAATTCTCCCCTGCAAGGAAAAAGGTAATCTCATAACCTTAACAAATGGTAACTGAAAACAGTATGATATGAATATGACTACAGTATAAGATTGTTCTACAAATTTATAATATGATTGACTACAAAAGGAAAGAAATGAAACTGAAATGAGTGCCAATCATAACAATAAGGTCCTGAACCACAGAGAAGCTCCTATTCTTTCTTTACCAATTATAACACCATAATATTGTTTCACCTCAATCAACTTACAGATCTATCAAAAGTTTAAATTTTCATAACAACAGACAAATATGATTAACTTAATTTATTTAGATCTAAAATCACACTCAAAAAATGCTTAGTCTAATTTGCAAAAGACCAAACATAGATCTCTCTGGATCTTCAGATCTCCACTTATACAACCTCAATCGATTGACAGATCTATAAAGAGTTTAAAGTTAATGCAATAACCAAGAAATATAACAATCAAATTTAATATAAATTCACACCGAAAAAATGCTAAGAAAGTCTACTTTGAAAAAGACCTCAGCTAGATCTCTCTGGATCAGTACATCTCCATTGATTTATGTACAAAGTAAATGTTTATCCTTTTAACCCAAAAAAAAAAAAAAATCAGAGCCAAGGCCTCAGAATTCTCACCAAGATTTATGATCAGGATGAAGGATTAAGCCATCTTGACTCTTTCACGCTTGTGCCATTATCAACACTACTTAGGGGGGGGTGAAGAGTAGAGTAGAGAGTGAGAGGGTCCGCGGCGCAGAGAGATGAAAGCTTCTTATTTATAAAGAACCCTAATAAAAATGGCAAAGATCCACATTTGAAGAGCCCATGTAAAAGCTATAATTAACAATTTTACCTAAAAGAGAGAAAAAAAAAAACATCTACGAATTTGGGCCGGAAGTATCGGAAAAACATTGTGTCAGGCCTGTAATGTAGTCCAAATTTTGGCTATTCCGAAGTTATCATAGCCCAGTGCATTCAAACCTAACAGACGCGCCCCTCACCCCCACCCCCTGTCATGTTAACCTTAGGAATTCCCAAGTAGAGTTGCTTCCTAGCCCCAAATCCTGCAATTCACTGATGGAATTCCATTAATCAGAGTAGTGTCTAATTTCCCTTCTGGACACCCCAAACTTCAGGCTCAACGCACAAGCATTGGCAGCTCCACTTACTGCATTAATGTGAGTATCCAACTAAAAGATAATATATCATTCCATGCATGTATAGAACCATGTTAGCTTTATCTTTTAGTTCATTGATGATATTTAATTTTGAGGGAGCTATTGAAAAGTTCACAATCATAATCATGTACTTCCATTTTCTTTATGTGGTTCTAAGAATCTCCCAACACGTAAATGCTACATATTAGAAGTTTTAACAATTGAATTTCCCAAAGCCACGGAAGCATAAAGAGATTTAAGAAACTAATACAGGAACCATTGTTTGATAACCTTTTTTGTAAGTTAAATTTATTTATTAAATAAAATAAAATAAAAAACTAGCCTAGTACAGAAGCTGCATCCAAGAGTTTATAAACAGAAAGGAAGCAACTAAATCTACCAAGGAATTTGACCGATCAAAATCCATCTCAACAATTGACCCCTTAATTCCATAATTGAATGTTCTAAAGCATCTAAAGCTTTTGCATTCCCCCTAAAACACAAGTACCACATAACACATAGTAAAGCATTATCAGATTTTCCCACAAAGCTATGACACCATTCTAGTAGCAAGTGTTGATCACATCCTGACATAATCCAATTAAAACTCTAAATAATGACAACATAAAACCCCAAACACTCCTAGGCCAATTGAGAATGTAATAATAGATGATACACCGATTCCCCAGAACCCTTCCACATGTAACACCCATGAAGCAAGACTTTCCGCCATATCACCAAGATATCCATAATTATTTTTCCATGAGCAGAAAAAAAAAAACCTAAAAGGACCTTCAGTGGCACATATGGAATTGAATTCATATATTATTTGCAAAGAGATAAATGTTAATTAATACAGTAGATTATAAAACTACTCAGCATACAATAATTGAACTTAATGATACTATCATGGTTTGATTTTAAGCAATAAAATGAAATAAGTTAATTAGATATTTCAATCTCCTTATCTCTCAATGTTTTCTTCATGGTCACCATTACATAATTGTTTCTCCTTTTATGTATCTTTGCATTCTCATTCATAACACGATTAAACTCTAATGTTTGCAATGTCCCAAGTTTCAGAAACCTTGAGGTAGTAACAATACATCTCTAATTCAAAATAAGTTCAGAATAATTAGATTATGAAAGTGTGAATAAATGAATTGAAGACTCAATATTACAAGCACTAACAAGCATAAATGAAGGAGATAGTTTTCCAAGTTTGTGTTAAACAAATTTGGACA